AAACACTTCCAAGCAGTTCTAAACACTTCCAAGCAGTTCTAAACACTTCCAAGCAGTTCTAAACACTTCCAAGCAGTTCTGCTCCTTGCTGAGCTGAGGCCCCTTTGCGGCTCGGCTCTTCTTCTTGCTTTGCCGCTTTGAGGTCCGTTTCCTCTACGTCCGCTGCCCCCGAAACCCCAGGATGGCAGTGGCTGGCAGGGGCTCCTGGAGGTCAGTTAGTCCAGCCCACCTCCCGGCTTAAAGCAGGGTGCCCTAGAGCAGGTTGCCCAGGACCGGTCCTGTCAAACTTTGAGCATCTCCAGGGATGAAATAGATTGTTCTCTGAGCAAACCAGTGATTTACAACCCTCACAGGAAAAGGAAAAAACAACAGTCTTTCTTATTTTTTTATCTTACGTTCAAGTGACATTTTTTTGCATTTCAGACCTGTGCCCGTTGCCTCATGTGCTGTCAGCGGGTATCCCCGCGAGGCTGGTGCTGGTTTTGGTGCCCTGGGCCAGGGCTCGGTGCTGCGGGCAGCGCTGGGGTGCCGTGCCCTGCGCCGGGCATGGGTTCTGCTATTGCAGGGTCCCCGTGGCTCTCGCGGTGCCGCCGCCGTCACGCTGCGGCCTCGGGCTCTTCTGCGCGGAGCCGCTCGGTGCCGTGTCCTCCCGGGTGCTTCCATGCACGTCCACCTGCTCCGGCAGCCCCTCGGGGTCCGTGCGAACGAGGGGCTGATCCTCGGCCGCTGCGCCCGCTCCTGCACCGTGTGAGCTGCAGACGGGCCCCGCTCAGGCCCACCACGCGGGTTGTTGGTGAAGGGCGTCATCCCGCACGGGCGCTGACCCGGGACACACCGCTGGGACCCGGCTGCTCGAGAGCGCTCTGGGCACCGCGCGGCCCGCTCCTGTTCGAGAGCGGCTCCAGGGAGCGGGTGCGCCGGTGTGCTGCCCCGCGCGGGCTCCCGCTGCCGCCTGGCACCCTGCTAAGCTGTCTGGGCATGTCTGGTGGCGGTGCCAGCCCCCGCCGCCGCCCGGGCGCTCCCGAGCTGCTGACGGCACCTCCCGTGCCTTTCCCACCGACTCTGAGCCGAGTTTCCTTGCAGGAGATCCTGCCTCGTCCCGCTCTGCCCACACCAGGCGCGCGTCGCCGGGGCTTGGCCTGCGCCAGCCCTTCCTGCCTCTTCCCGCAGCCGCATCCTGGCGCTCCCGGCACCAGGGTACCCCACGGGCACCCTGCCCTGCAGGGAGGGGAGCTGCCCGCAGACCCCCCCTGTCCCGGGGCTCCTGCCCCCGTGCGCGGGCGCCTCTTCCCGCTGCAGATCCTGGGCAGGGACACGTTCCTTCTCCCGCACCAGAGCCGCCTTCGCTCGTCCCCAGCCCTGTCCTGGCTCTGGGCCCCTCGGCTCCGGGCGCTTCGGCGGAAGCGGCTCTGTGTTGTTGGCTGCTCCGTGGCGTCGAGGCTGGGGAGGCAGAAGCAAGCAGCGAGGAAGAGTAGGGAGCAGGGAAGGAGATGAAGAGGGCACTGGGCCTGTGCAGCATGGGGCAGGGTGGGGGGTCCTGGTCTGTGTCTGTAAACACCTCAAGGGAGGCGCTGAGGAGGGTGGGACTGGCCTCTTTACAGTGGTGGATAGTGATAGGAGCGGAGGAAACGGCCACGAACTGAAGCACCAGAAGTTCCACGGGAACTTAGGGGAGATTTCGGGACAGGAGGGTGCTGAACCCTGGCCCAGGCTGCCCAGGGAGGCTGGGGAGGCTCTTGCTCTGGAGATCTTCAAAGTTGCCTGGATGCCGCCCTGTGCCCCAGCTCTGGGTGACCCTCTCCATGTTCCCGCTTCCCGAGGGTGCCCCGTGGGGTGCTCGGCAGCGCCCGGTGCTGCCGGGAGAGCCCTGCTGCGTTGGGCTGCGCCCGTGGGGATGCACGTGGGACACCAGGCCGCTGCTCCCGGCCCGGTTCATCCTGAGCCCTTCTGCCCTGCGAGCGGGAAGGGCAGGGGCTGCCATGTGGGTAGGGAAGGGTGTTGAGTGCCGCATCCCGCTGCCACCTGGCGCGCAGCACCGCTGCCCCTGCAGCCGCATCCCCGGAGGGAGCGTTCCCGAGGGCAGCAAGCGGCCGGGACCCCCGGGGTAGCGCGGGGAGGCGCTTCCCTGCCTGCCCTCCCGTGGTGGCAGGGCTGCTGCCCGCGCTGCCCAGCAGCCGGAGCAGCCGGGATGGGGCCCGTGTGCTGCTGTCCGCGCTGCTGAGCGGATAGCGGGGCTCCGCACAACCCCCCGGCTGCAGCGCCAGGGGCAGCTGGACGGGCCCCCCATGTCCGTGAGGCTGGTGCTGCCCCAGCCACAGCTCAGCCCTGCCCGGGACATGCGCTTTGTCAGCCGCCGGCCAGGCCACTGCTCAGTGGCAGTGATGCCGGGTGGCTCCAGTTGGCTCCTTGGTGCTCCTGGAAGTTCCTTGCAGCTCCCAGCAGCTCCTGGCAGCTCCTTGCTTCACTTTGCTTGACCTTGCAGTACCATGCAGCCCCTTACTGCTCCTTGCCTGACCTTGCTTGCCCCTGCAATGCCTTGCAGTGCCTTGCGGCTCCTTTCTGTTCCTTGGTGCTCCTGGCCTGACCTTGCTTCACCTGGCAGCTCCTGGTGGCTCCTTGCAGCCCCTTGCTTGACCTGGGTGCTCCGTTGGGCTCCTTGGGGCTCCCTGCAGCGCGTTGCAGCGCGTTGCAGCTCCTTGCTGGCAGGCCCCGCTGCCCGCTCTGCCCATGCCCAGGCCGCTCTGTGTCCTGCAGCAGCTCTGGCCCCGCTGCTTGTCCTGCTGCTCGTCCTGGCCTCCACAGCCTCCCCGTGCCGACCCCGTCCTGCCCCCGGGAGAAGGGGTGGATTCCACCCCGGAATCCTCTCCTAGCGCCACCTGCCTCGGCTTGGAGGTTAAGGATGAAGAGCAGCGAGAGCCCTGGGTGCCCCTGGGCACCTCTTGGTGCCCCTGGGTGCCCATGCCGCGGCTGGACACCCTGCACATCGGACCAGGCACAGCCCACAGCACGGAGTCCTGGGGCACAGGCCTCTGGTACCCAAAGGCTCCCGTCCTTTGTTCCACCTTCCCTGATGCCAACACGTCGCTGCCCCAGCGGGCACAAGGGACCAGTCCTGCCCGGGGGCTGGAGGGCACAGGCACCATCGGGGCAGTGGCGGGGATGGTGATGACGATGAAGACAATGATGGGATGAGGATGCTGGGGGCGCCGCGCTGACGGTCTCTCGCTCTCGTTGCAGCTGCCCTACACGGAGCTGGAGAAGGTGAGCGGCATCGAGGAGGCCAAGCACTATCTGCGGCAGAAGCTGCGGGAGCTGCGGCTCTGAGGGGGCGGCCGCGGCCTCCCCTGCCCGCGGGGCTCGGCCTCGGGCGCTGCCCCCGGGTCCCCGGCCGCGGGACGTATTTATTGTGTGCGCGGGGGGCGGTGGCGCCGGCCGGCCCCGTCCCCATGGGGAGCAGGGCTGCGAGCGGGACGGCGCGGGAGCGTGCGGGAGCAGGGTGAACTTTCCAATAAAACCGGTGAAAAGTGTGCAAAGTCCGTTCCGTT